CTATTTTTTGGCTACAAATCCTTGCGTTTTCAACAGTGATTTTTTTGAATATTACGATCGTTATTTTAACAACTGGGTCTATAATGTAGAAATGTAAGAATAATAACCAGTTTTTGCAAACGGTTTTCCGGGCAGCCGAAGTGGCATGAGGGTTTCTTCCGCTTGCGCACTAGGTTTACCCGCTTTTTTAACCTCAGCAGTAGAAACGAAAGCTACCTTTGAAAAAGTTTTGATTGGAGCACAAGGAAAGATTGAATAGTGTTATACTATAATTTTATTTGATTCAGCAAAATAAAAAACTAGCTCCAGAAAATGCAGTCCTGAACGGAGCCTATTTTTGGTTATGCACATTTTGTTATTTTTGGTTATGTAACCAGATGCCAAACGCAGGTAGTTTTCTTAAGCAAAAAAACTCCTTCACATTTAGGTTGCGAAAGCTGCCTGTACTCGGCACTATTAACAATAAAAATACTTTCGCAGAAGTTTTACATTTGCTCAGCCATGGGAAAAAAACCAGCCTAAAATAAGTATTTGATAGAATTTTTTTGTTTTTTGAATCCTTTTTTCAGGAATACATATGAACGAAGGTAAATATGAAAGAAGATAAAAACACAGGATGACAACTGTGAACAAGCAACGAAAAATTTTTCCTAGCACCATTCGAAACCAATTTATTTTGATATTTTGGGATGAAAAAAAAGTTGAAAAGTAAAAAAAAAAGTAAGACGAAGACAAAGGCCGACACAACATCGATGTAGAATATTTCGCAATAAGATCAAAAATTGTTTTAGCTTTTTTTAGTAAGCATGACAAATCTGTTTAAGTGGATATTAGGACACACACTTCAACAGTTATCGAAAAAATAAAAAATCAATTTTGAGATCTTTACATTTGAGATAACAAAACTTTTTGTAATTATTCCAAAAAATAGTGATCTTCGATTTGTTTTTGATATTTTTCATTGGTGTTTATGGAAAAACACTTTGGTGTTTTTCGCACTTCTTATACCACTACCATAATTAAAATTAAGAAAGGGTATTTTGTTTATTTCGTTGTTTACGTTTAGTAAAACCAAAATATCTCTGATAAGCTGTGCCAATTTTTGTCAAGAAAGTTTAAACATAAATCGAGCACCTCGAATTGGGTTTTATTGAACCTTAATATGTCTATCCACCCAGTTTATCAACCAAAACCGCTTGAAGTTTTTGACCGTTTCATCAAGATTATCCAGTTCTTTTAAACTTAACCGCTGAATTTGTGACACCAACTGTTTCAGAGAGATTGTTTAACTTTTGATTCATTAGTAAGATATTCTACGGTACGGATTTTTCTTTGTCTTGGGGTTTTCCCTGAACACTAAAACTTGTGAAAACATCATGCGAACGTCCTCATTCATTGCATCAGATAATGTGCTTGTTCAAACCTCCCATTAACCACGTTAGTGAGGTTGATTTCAACCTCGTTTACCAGTTCTTGTTCCGACCATTCATGTTCCGGTGTCGAGAAAAACTGGTCTGAAGTTTTTCATGTTTGCCTAAATTCGAGCGAGTAAAGCGAGCGAGCCCGCTTAATTATGCGTAATTTAGGCCGTTTACATCAGCCTATCTATGCTTAAATTTAATTTTACTAGATTTTGATTTTTTTCTAGATGTCGCAGCTTAAAAAATCGTGTCCCGCTGAAAGATTGCCACGCAATTAGTGCAAAGAAGGAACAAGTTGGACCTAATTCTTTGGTGTCATTAACAGCGACATGTGATGAAATAGTGACGACTGTAAGCAGGCAACGTTACAACAGGCATGAAGGTAAGAAGGTTTCGTTACGAACTATTTTCTGCATGCTTTGCAAGATAGAGCTATATTGGAAAATTTACCGCGAATAAGTAATCATTTTGATACAAAGAACGCAACAAAAGCTACGATCACATTGTGATAAAAAGATCAGACGTAAAAATATAATTTAGACATATTAGACAGTCATAGTTTTATAAGCGATGTGGACAAAATTTTGTAGAAAAGGACTAGAAAAGCTTTAGAAATTTAGCAGAAAATTTTTGAATTTTTTGAAAATTTCCCAAAATGAAGCTAAAAAAACAATTTTACTTGCTTAAAATTAAGTTTCAAGGTCTTAAATTAGGCATAATTGTGCTTGTGAGCCAGTTCGCTGGCTTTATTTGCTCGAATTTAGACAAAAATCAAAAATTTCAAACTGGTTTTTCTCGACATTGGGAAAATTTTTTGAAAATTTTTAAAACTGGTTCCAATCACGACTGGAAGGGCTTTAATATGATATATCACTAAATCCAGAACGATCATTGTTTGTGGTACCTGATTTTGCGTGAAAAACAAAAAGCAAAAAAATTAAGACATTCGAAAACAAAGTTCCTCCCCATTTTCAATGGTCGGAACAAAATTTTCCATAAATGCAGGTAATTCTAGCTGAAATAAGGAACGAATTGCATCAAAATAAAATAACTGTCATTAAATTGCTAAATGACAATCATAAAAAACGAAGACAATTTTTTCTCAACACTGAGACAAGCTGCGTTTTTTGAAGCTATTGGAATCCGCATATCGCCTCAAAAACTTGAATGTGATACCCCACTTTTGTTGAAAATTTACCTCATATGCAGTTGGGAAATTAATGTTGAATTCAATGAAAGCTATGAATTTTTTTAGATAAAACACATACATGTCCTCAAAATTCTTTGAGCGTGTAGAATAATTTATGATTGACAGTTTTGTGATAATTAACCTTATTTAAAAAATGGTTCAATGGGGTTGGTTCAATGTTTTTTATTCCTCTGGAAAAGTTACAGATTAAAATCCAATTTCAAATTTAAAAGTCGTTCAAGTTTATTTTTGATTCAAATGTCTTTTCTAAAACGATTCGCACGTGACAATAAAAAGCTGAAAAAGCTGGGACCAGTTGAGCTGGCCCTAGGAAAGGACACAAAAAGCAAATTAGACCATCGTCAGATAACTGAATTTAGACGATAAATCATTGTGAGTTTAGAATATAAGATCTATTCTAGCAAAATTTTTTGTTCAGACTTGACTCACACAAAAAAGTATATGTTTTATCACAGAATCGATTGCAACTATTACACTTTTCAAGAAAAAACATTTAATTGAGAAAAAATGTACATTTTCGAAATGCATAAATTATTTTGTCGACTACCAGTGTTCACTCAACCAAAATTTAACTTGAACCGGTAATTATTTTTGACACAGTTTGGAATCAAAGGTATCATCCTTATAAAATTATTTTTGGCTCGACTAATTTGATTTTATTTTAAATTTCAAACCTCTCAGTTGAACTTATAATTATTAAAACGCCTAATTTTTTTTTTAATTTTGATATTTGAGACTAATTTTCTTCTTGCTAATTTGACAATCTGCTGCTTATGGCACCAACAAAAGATCATCCAAATACTCATTGAAATTTGGCGAAACTAAGAAAATAGTTTGGTTTCTACATGAAATTCAAAACTAAAGCAAAATTTAAGATTCTTATTGTTACTCGAAGTAACGTTCCCAGAGTGACCAAAAATGCTTGTCATACAATTTTCATAAGTAAACATGCTGGTCACAGATTTTGGCAAAATTCTCTTGGTACAGAAAATTTACGAAAACTCGACGATGAAAAGAGTGTGACAAGCATTTTTGGATAACAGAAAATTCAAGTTTTGATTTGATTTAAGTTTTTTATGCAGAAACGAGGTAACAAGAGCTTCACTTTTACAAAAAAGTCATAGATTAAAAGGCAAGCATCGCACAAATGAGCTGTATTGGAAGGTTTGCCAAAATTAATTATTATATTTCACCCAGGATAATGCCGAATAACCATACTTTTTTGTATTTGACTGGAAAAATAAACTCTAAAAGTCTATTGGCTGAAAATTGTGGCCTATTTTTGGGACAGAATAATTTTTATCGTAACATATAAAAACCTACAAGTTTCCTTCATGCAAAAACTCATAGTCCCTTTTGATACACCTGGACTACGTTTCAGACAAAAATGCACAAATTTTTGCATGCATTTTTTTCTGAAACTGTTTGTTTGAGCTTAGAAATGATCGTGCAACCAAGATTAAAATTTTTTCCGTTGAATTGTGGAATTTTACAGAGAAAAATTTATTTAGCCATTTAAAAGATGCTTATCATACAATTTTTATTTATGAAAAATGTATGTTAGATTTTTTTAAATAATTTTTGAACGATTAACTTCTTTTTTTTTATTCACCAGACTGTTTTAATTGGTTCAAGTAGCCGCAATAGTTTGTTCAACGTTTTTTTCAATCATTTGTAAAAATTGGATGAAAATTGAATGAAATGAACAGAGCCAACTACCATTTGGAAAAGAGTAATGAAACTGAAAAAAAAAACAGATTTTTTTCAAGAGCCTTCAACTTTTGAATTTCGAAGAAAAAAATAGATGGCCTTAAAGCTCTTTCAGTTTGTAGAAAATAACCCAATAGAGAAAACTGGATCAATACGTAAAAATTTTGTTTCGGTGGGAAATCTGATAATTAATTTCAATTTTCGAAATCAGAAGTCGATCACGCTTTTTTGTGACCTTTACACTTTTGCTGTTCGATAGTGGAGTTTGCTTTCCTTTTAACAATGGAAATGCACTAAACTTGAAAACGAATCATAAGTCAAACCGCGAAAAATCAAATTAAGCGTTAACAAATCGTAAGACATTTTCCTGAAAACAAAACCAGCAAGACCTATATAAGAGTACTCACAACGTTCATTACTCTTAACAAGAATTTTTCCATGCATTTGATGTATGGAATTGTATCATAAACATTATCAGCTTTTGAAGGTCAATCCGGGTTGTCCTAGAAGAATCATCATGATGGAAACCTCCATAAGACTTACCTTGAGTAAATTCAATCCCTCATATTCGCAATTAGCGAATTGCATTGACTCGTAAAAGATAAAAATTTGTGCATTTTGTGCAATTTGGTTTTGCAATTGCTTAGTTACTTGTTTGTCTAGAATCCTGGTTTTATCACTTGATAGGCCGACAACGTAGCTAGAGTGAGGTAAATAACCCAGAACATCAGCAGGATTATAGAAGTGACGATTTTACTGCTCTTTGGGCCGCCCAACTCCGCGCCTATGCTTTTGGAGAAGCGACGGTAGATGACCACACACATTCCAAGAATGACTAAAGTTGTGAAAATGACCACGTTGAACCCTAGGTCACCCGGTTCCACCATAAACTCACATCCTCGTATGTTTTGAACTATGGCTCCCATGAGCCACGCTATGCCGATTCCTAGGAATACGTTGACGGCGTTCGATCCTGTGACGTTTCCGATTGCAGCGTCGGCATTGTCGTCGGCAAGGGCGGCTGCTCGACTTGCAAATGTATCAGGAAGACTCGTACCTAAAGCGTAGCACATAAATTATCTTTGCCAATCTACAGGATACTATATCAAAGAAAACGGAAAATGTGCGGAAATTGACGCTCCTCAATCTTAGAAAGAGGAATTCAAGTCAAAACCAAAAAACATTTTATGAAAACTTGAAACAAAAGAGCTATAAAAAAGACTCAAAATAATGGCAAATGATTGTTATTAGCATCAACTAGCGGAAATAAAATAGCTTTGACTTTGACGCATTTTTTTTTTGAGAAAAACACTTTTTGAGAAACAGTTTTTGTACATTGGGTCCCAAAGAGCGAGTAAGTTCAACTTTTAATGGATTAAATAGATTGAACAAAACTTTTCGAAACTATTGAAACTTTTTGGGACGAGAGCTTGAAAAACAGAAGCGCCAGTAATGTAGGTTCAATTAATTCATATTCATATTGATTCAATTAAATTTTGGAAAATAAGACAACTTATAACATCCTCCTATGCGAGTAACCTAAGGTGTATTTGAAAGAAGTTTTTTTTTAAAATCTCAGGCTCTGAAAAAACAGGGGATGGTGTGAAAGCATAAAGTCAACATGATACTAACCAAGTGCCACAATAGATATGGCAGTGACGATGTCCATGATTGCTGCAGCACATCCCAGATTAGTGGCCACAATCTCTATGGTCCATGTCAGCAGCCCAATTCCCAACAGGGACCCCCAGAAGCAGAGCCAGCCCCCACACATGCCGGGTGGGGGGATGAAGGCGAACAGTATCTTCCACAGTACTGTGAACACGTGACAGCACCAGTCGCACCTCGATGGCTTCTTCAATTCTCCCGTCTCCTCATCCACCTTAAATTTAAGTGAAGTCAGCAAACCTTATTGTGTAGGTTGACATTGCGGTTCAGACTCAAGCCATCCTAGCGAACACTTAGACTTATAATTCATTTCATAACATTTGACTCAAAAGCAGAGACATGACTCGCAACTTGATAAGGACTTTAAAAGCCAAGATAAAAAACTATACCATTTCATAAATAGTTTTTGATTGACACTTTTTTTCTTATTAAAATAATCCATTTTGAGGAAACTGGATCGAAAGTATTTTTTAATCGGCTCCGATTTCTAAAAATTAAAAACCACTTATGAAACTATAGGTTACTTGGTTTTGTTTTACCATTTTCACCGTTTTTGTCATTGTTTCGCCATTTGTTTTGCCAGTTTTGCCATTTTTACAGGTTTGAGCGTGATAAACCTCTAAAACCTTTATCTTGAAAAAAAATCGCCCAACCTAAACAAATGTCTTCACTTCGTCTTAACGCCATAGACAAAGGCCATGTTCAACAAATAGTCAAGAGTCAGAGCATTTTTAGTATCAGTTATCAAGACTTTTAGAAATAAATATATGCCAGCGAGCAGGCGTAACATGAATCAAGTGATATGTAATATGAGGAAAATCACACTGCTTTTTTTAAAGGTACCAGGGTCGTTACATTGCCGAGCCTGTTTATGGGGGTGAGCGAGGAAGCTGAACTTTGTATCGCTCCGTACCTACCTCTCCCTGTACGGTGACCGCTTCTCTGAACTGGTCGCAATAGCTGGTCTCTCGGATGATGTCTGCTGCAGTGAGTCTGCTGGAGAGGTCGTCTATCTGGTGCTTCAGCTTCTTAGCCTCCACTATATTCACCAAACAAGACACTTTCTGGCCCAGACGAGCCTCTCCTGCGCAGCAAAAAAAAAACAAATAAGTTTTTGAAATAAAAAAGAGTTGAAAAAGATGATAAGAAATCGTGAGCGTTTCCAATTTCACGAAACAAATGACAAAACTTCAAGTGCTTTGAGTTTCAAGAATTAAAAAAAAATTCAATCAAATCTGATGGTCGATGAATAGCAACCTTTTTGAGCAGAGCCAGCCAAAACTTAGTAGTTAAAGGTGTTGCTCAAGGAAACAAAAACGACTTTTTATTTTAATATTTTAAATAGATTAGTCATGTAAATTAAATTTTAAGAAAACTTATCTAAAAAGTCATATTTCAAATTGAAAGTCAAGAAAGTTTTCGAGCCATTTGTACTTTGCCACCCTTTTGTGAAATGAATCAAAAAATGAATTTATAAACAATTCAAAAACGAATTGTCTTATAGTGAAACAAACACGTTTTATATTAATTGACGCTTTGAACTCAAATTTGAAAATTTAGTTCACATGTGACTGTTTTTTGTTCCGACTTTTGGAGAAAATACGGATCTCTATGCTTGGGGTGTTTTTTTATCCAATCAAAATCGACCATTTGTTCCAATTTTTGAAAAACAGGTGGAATATTTATGCTTTGGGTGTATTTTTAATCAGTCAGCTTCCGACTTTTTGTTTCAAATTTTGAAAAAAAAAAAACGAAATATTTATCCTTAGGATAGTTTTTTATTCAGTCAATTTTCGACTTTTTATCGACTTTTGAAGAGAAAGCGGAATATTTATGCTATGGGTGGTTTTTTATTCAGTCAATTTTTGACTTTTTAACTCAGCGTTTCTGACGGAAGCTTGTCATGTCATAATAGAAATAATTTTGTCAGCTGGATTTTTAAAAAATCACTTTTGATCATTTTTAGTTAAGTTATGGAGGCTGGAAAAATTCATTTTTGGCCAATTTGGGTTAATTAACAAACGATATTTTGCATTCTTATCACATACATAAATGGCGGATTACTGCGTTCCAAATTGAATTGACGCTTATCATTTGGTCTTAAAATTGGGACATGATAAGCTTAATACATCCTTTCGCAGTGTAGGTTAGCGTTTAGGGGGATGAAATGAAAAGAAACTAAAACAAAACTGCTCGTTTCAGGGCGAAGCCCTGAATGTTCCGACTGCCTTTTAAGGTTTTATGGAGCAGTAATAACATCAAAAAATTAAATGTAATAAAATAAAATGAAAATTTTTTTTTTCTAAAATTTGAAATTTTTTATGAAAATCATCCCCCCACACGCCATATAAAGTACAAAAAGATAGATTTAGCTCCTTTTAACAAATCAATTATGGCAAATAAGCTTCTTTCAACCAATTTGGAACAATTTTAAGACAGATTAAATCTCAGCTTACGCGTCAATAGCGCGAAATATACCGCGCGTTAATTGTCCCAAATTGGCCAAAATGGCAATCTTTAAACCCCCATAACTTTACGAAAAATGATCACAGGTGAAATATCTTTTCAAATTTGAGCTCAGGATAACAATACCTTTCGAATTATATTAAAAAAGTCCGTCAAATATTGCTAGTTAAAAAGTCGAAATTTGTCTGAAGAAAAAAAAACCCACCCCGAGCACAAATATTCCGTTACTTTCGTACCGAAAGTCGGAGCAAAAACTTCTTTTCTGAAATCATTTTGTCAATTGTTGAACCAAACAAAATTATTGACCATAAATTGCAGTCGGGACAATGAGGGCTTTGCCCTGATATACGACTAATCTTTTAAACTAGGCAGTTTGACGGAAATTGTTTGCAACGTCGAAAAGATAATGATGCCTGGAGCTCAAATGTATAATACAAGTTTACCTTTGATCTTAGTAAAGGCATAGATGCTTGCCAATTTCTAACTTGCTCATCTTGGGATAATTAATGCGCTAACAATTGTGCTATTATAACTCGTGTTAGCGGCGGGATGAAAAAACTCAAAATGAGTTGACGCTTACCATTTGTACCATTTGGTCATTTTATTAGGATACGAGACATTGAATAAATATCTTTCCGCCTTACAAAAACTTTTTGTTCCGACTTGGGAAGAAATAAAAACTAATTGTGCTCGGTTCAGTTTTTTTCTTCAGACCAATTTTCAAAACATATTTTGTCTCCTGGGATCGATCCCTTGCTTTTAGTGTTCACAGAAGGGTCGTGCTTACAACTATACTAACCTCACATTACGGTCGCTCTGAGACGAGTCTAAATAAGTATCTCGTTTTGTACTTTGATGCTGAACGGTAGCGCGCATTACTTCGGTCTTCTTAGTTATCAAAAATTGTAACTTAAAATTTTTATTAAGACAACTGAAGATTTGATATTATCGTCCTAAAATTCATAGTTTTTCAAAATTTTATTTATCAAAAACTATTAGAGACCAGTTAATGGGTAGCTGGAATTTTCAGAGCTTTGCCCTGATACAAGCAGCCTTCTCACATTCAGAGAAAACCTGAAAACCAGATTTGAGATAAAACCTGAAATGTTTGCTTTTCAATTAATTTGGAACGAAGAATGAATTAGTTACAATTCAATAAGCTTCTTAGAAAGTTTTAAATGAAGTGGCTAGCATTTTTAAAAACATGCTAATTTTATCAATTTATTACTTTAAAAATGAGTTCCCGCTCCCAAACAACGTTCAAAATTACCAAATATGAATCTGAAGCAAAAAAAAAGATTTTTTTTCCGCAAAAGTTACTGTGGTTAGCATATCAGTTGCTATTTGCACAACAACCGCTGATCTTGTTTGGAGTTGTGTGTGTCTAAAGTTTCTGAACTACCTTTGACGTCGATCATCCTCTCCTGTTTGGTGAGTACCCTGTTCTTCAGTCTCTCCTCCTCAGTCGTGATCGTCTTCGGCTCACTCAGCCTCACATGGAACATCTTGTCCTTCTCATACTCCCTACACAAAGCACATTGTCCACCTGAACATAGAGTTAAAAATACCGTTGAAGGGACTGTTCATGTACTAAGGATCCACTCACTACAAATTCGCTCCGGAATATACCATGAAACCATGAAATTTCGGAATATACTATAAAAAAAGTTAGATATCTGGAATTGCTTAAAGGTAGAGTGGATCGTTTGAAAATGATTGTGTGGCGCGTGCCTGCTGTTGACGATTGGGATGATGATCTGGCGGGAGACTTCTCCGTCCTCGAACCTGAGCACCCCCTCCGTGTGAGTGTAGTCCTTCTCCGGCTTGGCCGTGAACTCGTCAGTGGTGAATGGGATATCAACGATTCCTCTAGCACCTGAAAACACAATTAGTCCTATAAAAGTTTTTACCTTTTTTATCTTACAATGTGGTTGATGATCATCAACTTCTGCAGCCATATCTAATTTGATTTTAACATAAACGCGGTTAATTTATTGTCTCAAACATCTGATATGCGCGAATGGCTTGTGACGTTGACTCAGTCAGACCAAGTTGAGAAAAAAGCTCTGAAATGAAAGTTCTCCTAAACTGAATCTTGATGTATTGATCGATCAAGCTCGACATCAATACGATGCCTGATATTTTGCTTTTCTTGACATAGTCTTATACTTGTATTTTTTTTGGTATTGAATGTTTTTTTTTTCGCTTTGCTTCCAAAAAATTATACATAGTTTGTTTGGCCAGCAGGAAGGATTCACGGGGGACAGATGATTGTTTTCGACAACTGATTTCTGCGCTGCAGAGCTTGGCGATACAACTATTTAGTAGGTACCTTCATAGAGTTAGTTTAAGGGCAGTTAGGGGGGTTTGGAGTTATTCTGAGCATGCATGGCTTAAACATGGGTTGTGGGCTACCTTTCCAGCGCTTGACTGTGAGTATGACTTCTCCCTCCTTCTCCTCCACCTCGGTCTGTTCCAGTTGGAAGGCGAAGATGCCCCTATGGTCCTCATCCAGAATGATGACTCTGGCTTCGTCCTCAGTCAACAGACACGGCAGAGTCTCAGAGGCCGCCTGGTCTTCCTACGAACATGCATCCCATACACTCATACATGATATCGGGGGCGGATCTAGGATTTTCTCGGGGGGGGGGGGGGGGCGGATTTTCAAAAAAATTTCGAAAATTTTGACGACCTTTTTTTTAGGTCGATCAGATTGATTTTCTGAGCTCTCCCAAAGCAGTAAAAAGACCCTGTTTTGGCCAAGTTTTCTGCGGCGCAGGCAAAATTTTGTGAAAAACAGGCCAAAAAGTCGTTTTTGGACACTTTTTGGAAAATTTTGACAAAAAAAATCTCGTTTTTTTTGGTGCGCGCTCCCCCTTAAAATCAGTATACATTGGCGCCGACGGCGCCTTTAGAAAAATTTTAGGGTCGGTCGGCCAAAAATGGATTTCTTAAAAAGTACCAAAGGGGGGACCCTTTGGGTTGGCAGGGGGTCGAATCCCTGAAGGGAAGGCGTCCGCCCCCCCCCTAAATCCGCCCCTGCATGATATCATACACAATCTCACCCTTCAGCCATGCAAGATACATCTGCACCGACTGATGTAAGAGCATCTCCGCCTGGAGTTATATTCTAATAAGAGTTTGCACCGACACTGATACGTTTCCGAGATTCTTGAAATTACATTGTAAGTAAGAACTGAAAATTGACTAAAGCTGAAGAGATGTCTGTGTATCAAATGTTAACAGTTGGTGTGCGTTATTCAATTGAAAGTTGGCTGGTATAATGCTGGCTAGATATGTGCCATCCAATTGTGAGTGGGGGGATGTGTGGCTGGTATAATGATGGGTACCCTGCGTGTGCTTCTGCGTACGCGGTTGCTGCCGGTGGACCCCTTATTCTTGGTGCTCCTGCTCCTGCTCACCCCACTGCCCCCACTCACGACACTCGCCTCACTCTGGTTCACCATATTGGACAACAGCACAGTGAAGTACTCCTCCTCCTCAAAGATCTCGTCATTCACTATCTCCACCTAATCACACACACAGTCTCTCTCTCACACACACACCTCACACACACAAGCGAGCAGTTATCACAAAAAGTGCAAAAACGAAATGATTTTAGTTCATCGTTTTCTAATTGCAAAGAAACTGGTCGATCCAAAAAAAAAGAAAAAAATACTTCTAAAAAAATTAATTGATGTTTTTCAAAGAAGATCTGGATGCACGATAACTATTTTTAGCAGTATTTTGAAAATATGAAAGTATTCTGTATATACATATTCACTGAGCTGTTTCTGTGCAACTTAACGAAAAGATCATTAACGTGTTATTATTTCATCTCTCTCACCTCGATGGTTTTGATGAAGTCGCCTGGCTCGAAGTGGAGGATTCCCTTCTTCGCAATGTAGTCACTGGGCGACTTGGCGGTGCCCTCGATAGTCTTGAACTCCACCTTGGTGTGGAAGTCTGCAAAAAATATATTTCAACTACGGCATAAAAGGCACAGAGTATCAAAAGTTCAAAAAAGGGTTTCAGTATTGAGATAGCTTGATTTTGAAGAGCAAACAAGAACAGGGTACAAGAGAAACATTGGTTAATTCGGAGAACATAATGATAAGCATCATAACTTGGTTCCACCAATGTAACCCATGTTTCAAGGTCGAGGAGATCAGTAACACAAGTCAATGGAAGAGACTTATAAATATCTATCATTCCCACTTATCTGAGGCAAAAATATAGACAAACACAAACAATACTAAATTTAGTTTTAGTTTGTCTTGAAATTGCACCCAAGTTGTCTTGAGGTGTCTGCACCCAAGTGTCTGATACCGCCTAACTTTTTCTCCTTGTTGATCAAATTTTAAGTTGATTACTGTTAATTACTATTTGGTCAAAAAAGGGTTTTTATAGAGACTGCGGATAGCTCGGAAAATCTATTTGGTCGACTGAAAAAAGTTGACAAAACTTTCCGGCCCTGGCAAGAAGTCAGCAGAGGCTAATTTACCGATTGCATTCTGTTTGCTATGTACATCAAACCAGTGTGAGCTTACTGATAGCGGTGGGTATTGATGTTTTATCAAAAAAAAAAATAAACTATTTATTCCTGTTAAATTTTGGTTCTTCTAAACTATAAGCCACTTTCTAATAATCCCAGAGATATTCTTGTGCTTTTTGTGGGCCATTTCACATCTTATGGCAATCTAAAACAAGGATAGCCGGTTACTGCGCAAGCAACACAGAATGTTCCATCCACAGTCTTACAAAAACAAGAAAAAATCTTTTTCGAAATAGTGTCGTTTCTTTTTCTGCGTGGCGTGATAAAAAAATCTGAACGAAAAAAAAGAACAACGGCATATCGACTTTCATAGTAAAATAGGCCAATTGGATAGCAATTGTTTTTCTGAGAAATTACTGGAAAAACGAAAAATCGTAAAAAACATCACCTAGAAACTTCACAAAAATAACTTTAATTCAAGTAAAACTAAGTTTTCACGGCTTAAATAAAAAAAACGCCATTTTAAGCCTGCGCACCCACTCGAGTTCGGACAAAAAGTCAAAAATTTCAAATCAGTTTTTCTCGACGCAGAGGAAAAATTTTAAAAATTTCAAAAACTGTTTGAATCACAAATAAAAGTGCTTCAAAAATGACTTATCACTAGACCCATTCCGATGATAATTTGTGGTACCTGATTTTGCGGGGAAAATAAAAAAAAAGAAAAAAAATAATTCACACCCGAATAGAAAAGTTCTCCCCATTTTTCAAATAATTGTTCCGACTATTGAAAATGGGGAGAATTTTTGTGTTCGGGTATGTTTTCGTTTTTTTCTCTTTTTTTAAAATTTTTTTTTTGTTTTCCACGCAAAACCAGGTGGCACAAATAATCATCGGACTGGGTCGAGTAATATATCATTTTCAAGCCATTTAAGTCGTGATTCAAACAAATAAAACAAGTTTCCCAAACAGTTACTCAGTGATGAGAAAAACCGGCTCGAACTTTTTGATTTTTTGCATAATTTCGAACGATTGAACAGGCTTACATTAGCTTATTTATGCTTAATCCAAGCGCTAAAAACTTATTTTTACCGAAGTAAAGTTAGATTTGGAATTTTTAAGGGCCATTTTAGGGCTCCAAAATTTCCCAACTCAAAATATTTATGAAAAAATTTTTGAAATTTAAAAAAATTTTGAAACTTCAATTTTTTAAATGATTTTTCTTTCGTTTTCCTCATTTTTTTTCTACAAAAAGCTGTTTTTCAAGTTGCTTGATTTATTATGACTGTCGATTGTGCTTAAATTATAAGTTTTTGTTCAGATTCTTTTATCATAACACGCAGAAAAAAACGACACTAATTTGAAAAAGAAAAGATTTTTCGTTATTTTATGATTATGCTCGGAATATTCTGTTCTTGTTGTTTTTTTTTGGTTTTTTTAATTATGTCCTTGCTAATTATGTTAATTATGTCCTTGGTTCTCCTTGTTAATTATGTGGTTTTTGTCTAGTTAGTTGTTTTGACTCAAAAATTGCTTCCCGATGCTTTAGTATCTTCAACTTCCAGAGTAGAAAACTTCTTCTTAATTGTGATAATTACTTTATTCTCCTTTTTGAATTTATTTTTCCTTGAATTGTTTCTTTTTTTTTGTATGCGAAACTGAAGTATGTTTTGCCAGAAATGCTATTGCGAAGCCATGGAATTAGAAAAAAGTTGTTTTGAGAAAAGAAAGATTAATGCGGTAACTAGCTAAAGCAATTAAATTTCATTCTTTGGGCTAAAAATTACTCAAGTTAATCTAATGAGGTTAATTGTTAGTCTTGCCCACTCGTCAAGGAGATTGGATATTATTTTCAGTGACTGTTAGCATTTGTTGGTTTTTATAAAATGTGGTAGTATGATTCTAGATATGTTCATTGCAGCGGGTGTCAACTGCTTGATATCTTTCTTCATGACGCGATGACTTGAGTTCTTTCGGATAAATAAAGTGAGCAGAAAGTGAAGCCTTCGTGAGTTGTCCGCAGTTTCTGCAAAGTGCTCTGTATTACTATAAGGTAAGTTGAAGCAACAAGGTGAATTGTAGAGTGAACTTATTTTTTGAAAATGATGGTATGGTTGTTCATGTGGTATTTTTTGCGGCGGTTTTATTGTATCCGTTTGAACTAAAAGCAGATTTGTGATTGTTTATGAATAGTTTTCATTAGTGCATTGAACATATTTATCACGAGGTGATAAACAAAAAATGGCTTAGAAAAAAAAGATAATTCACCATATAGGATTATTGGGAGTTACAAATTTTCAACGGTGTGGTGCAATCTGATATTCGGTCAAATTGATGTGCATACCAAACATGGAGGTCTCTAACAGGAGGTCTCTAGTTGGTAAACGTTTTGCTAGGTGCTATGATCATGAGGCGTAACTTTGAGGTTTCCAATGTTTTGTCGATAGCGTGCAACTGATAACAAGGATAACTGGTTACTGTGCAAATAGCCCAGAATGTTCCGACCAAAGTCTATAAAAAATTCATTTTTTTCAAGTTCGTCATTTTTTGTTTGATGTGATTGTAAGATCTGAACGAAAAATAGAAATTAGTTATAACTGACAGTCATAGTGAAATTGGCCAATTGCAAAACAGTTTCTATAGAAAAGTTATCCAAAGAACGAAAAAAATTGTTAGAAATTTTCAACTTTAGAGTAAGAAAAATTGGAATTATTAAAATTTGGGTTTTTAAAAATGGCGCCAAAAACTCAAAATTACTGTAAACGAGTAAATCTGAGTTTTTAAGTATAAATAAGCTTTTGTGAGCCTGCTCACTCGCTCGAAACTGGAAGAGAAA